ATTTAATTTTAATTGTTCTATTATTAATGCTACGTGCCATAGTTAAGGATGGAAATGGCAGTGCAGAATGACATTTTTTTTTCAAGTTGCATTATTAATAGAGAGAGAAATTTACCTCTTGGGTTTGAAAAACTACCAACATCTTGAATGCATCTATATTGTGTTTCACATTTCAGGCCATACCCCCTCTTTTGTACACTATTTCCAAAGGCAGAATGAAATCAGTTTATACACCGAGTTGTAGAATTCATTTTTCCCATCTGTAATTTTTAAAATCAAACCCTGCTAAAAAGGCCAGCATAAATTTTGAAATGCTTTTTTAATGCTTTTCTAGCTGCATGGTGGAAAAGGACAGTCATATTGGAAGTCCACAAAATGCATATTTATTATTATTTTATTTTTTTATTTTTATTTAAAACTTCCATCACAGTGAGGACTCCAGTGATGACAGTGAGGACTCCAAATGATACAAATGAGAAATGGCAGCTGATACACAGGGCGGACTGACTGTGAAAGCTCTAATTCACAGGAGACGGAGGCTCCAAAGCCCAGAGGAACAAGGTCAGTGGACAGAACAGTTTTCCCTTTTCGCAAGGGAGCAGCAACAAGCCAATTCCCACGCTTAGACTGCAAATCAACAGAGCTGAACCTCATATTAGTTTGATTATAATATATATCAACTGTAAATTCATTTTAAAAGTGATCTGTGCAAGCACCAGGTGAGGGGTTTACAGTTAACTTGCCATTAAAATCACAATGCTCAACATATTCTCAACCAGCCAGAATATTTTTGATGATGGAGTCAGGCATTCAGGGAGGAACACATGACTCAGAGTCACAGTTGCTGAGGGTCTTTGTCATAAACACAAGTGGCTTGATGGAACGCACAGTGCTTGATTCGTACATCTTCCTGGAATAGCAATTCATTTTTTTTATCTGCACCAAGGGGATGTGTTTCTCAGCGTGTGTTCACAGTGTCCCTTAACTTCCTGCTCACGAAGGGTCATCTGAGGCAGTATCAAACAAGTGACCTTCTTTTGACAAGGTTCATAGTGATGTCACTGGCATGTTCAATCAACTGTTATGTGGTTGCTTTATATTTCATGGTATGGAACCATGGTAGGTTACCATGTTATGGAAAATATATAAATATATTTATTTATTTACAATTTACATAATTTATTTTGATCAATTACTGAAGGTTTCAGGTTTTCAGCACCTGTTTAATGTGCTTACATGCTGTTGTTGTTGTTTCATGCTGGCTCATGACTGCCCCCTAACTATTACTAGACTGTTGTGGTGTCCTCTTTCTTTGCAAGATGCTGCCCTCTGCTGACACACATTATAAAAACCTATTTGAATTTCCCCAGAATAAGATGATACCGCCTACGTCTAAAAAAAATAAAAAATAAATAAAAAGAAAGAAATTGGAGCAGGTGACAAGGATAATGCTTTGTTTCATACTACTTAAAAATAACCTTTTGCACAATAAAATATTAAAATATATGTCATGTAATTAAATTCAATTATATTAAATGAAATATTTCTAAATTATAATAAGCATTTGATACTTTTAAGAGCCCTAAAATAAAATAAAACAATAATAAATAAAATAACATAATAATGAACTGTAATACAAGTTAATTTCATGCTTTTAAAAGCCGTAATAATTATATAAATAAATACAAAATATACGTATTTTAAAAGCCATAGTAATAAAATAGTAGAAAAATGAATTTGAATTAAATATTTCTAAATTATAATATAAACATTCTAACACTTTTAAGAACCCTGATGATAAAAATAAATAATTATAAAGCATGAGTATTTCACATTTACAAAAGACCTAGTAATAAAATAATATAATATAAAATAAATGATTATAAACTATAATATTAGTATATTCCCATGCACTTAAGATGCCTAATAATAAATCACATTAAAATATACATTCTATATTATAAGCATAATTCACACATTTTACATTTAATTATTTAGAGCCCTAATTATAAATCATAATAAATAAACAAAATAATATAAAACAGTACATAAAGGCATAAACATTGTTATTATTATTACTATTGTATGTATTGTTAATAATAATAATAATAATAATAATAATAATAATAATAAATGTGATTTATGTTGTAAACAAACATAATCCAGTGTTGATGCTGATCTCCCACTAGGCGGCAATGTTGTGTAAATAATTACAAATAAGAAATAACGCAGGTTGAATTTCCTCTACTTGTAAAAAAAAGTCAAAGTGCATAAGACAAACGCCATTAAAGTGTATCATATGCAATGCACTGGAATTCAAAGTTATTTTGATAACTGTGCGGGAAAAGCTTCATCAAGGTGAAGCATTGTCAGTTGCTGCTGCTAGCGTCAGATCCTCTGACTGTGAGCATTGAGGCTTCACTGCATATGTCTGTAGTGTGTGAGGATGACCTTCAGGCTGTCTGACTCATCACGCGCTCTGTTCTATTCAACGTCACATCAATGAAGTCGTGGGATAACAAACAGCACTAAATTTACTTTGAGGTCGGATCACGGATGCACTGCAGTCTGTGAATGGGCCTGTTAACACTGACAATTACTTCTGACGGACAAGTTGGTAGGTTTATGGATTTGATGAAACAATACAGACAGGCGTAGGCCTATACAGTCATTCAGAGTCAATGTCTGGTTCTTACATTTGTATTCGACTATCACACATTCAGTATTGTGGCAAAAGACAAAAGCGATGAAATAGACAACGCATTCTCACCCCTAGGCGTCACCTTTGACCATGCTTCAATATTTGACGTTTTAGGCGCCCTTTAGCGTCACTTACATGACGCGATCCTACGGCGTCATCTAACTGACGCTAAAGTAAAGCGTCAGTTAGAGGACGCGGTTAGGTTTAGGTGTGGGGTGGGGGTAGGGTACACGCGATCCTTGGACGTCATCTAACTGACGCTAAAGGGCGCCTAAAGCGTCAGAAATTGAAGCATGTCCAAATGCTTCCCAAGGCGTCAGTTAAGTGACGCCTTGGGGGTGAGAATGGGCTGAAATAGACTATAATTAAAGTCAAAGGAGGAAATCGCCATATCTGACCTCATAAACCACAAAGCAGCCGAAACAGAATTAGCCATGAAATGTGCTTTATTTTTTACTGACTTGCCCAAGGGTTTTAGAACATAAATAGCAAACTCAAACCTCTGATAAATGAAGTGCACTTTATATATTCTAATAACAATATATATATATATATATATATATATATATATATATGAAGAGTTCAGATGCAAAAGCCTCTAAATGCCATTTGAAATTTTTTTCTTTAATGATGATTTTTATCAAACTTGTATATTTAAGTTCAGTAATTTCACTTAAATAACAATTAATAGGTAATTATCATTGCCATTTAAGTGAAATCACTGAACTTAAATATACACGTTTGATAAAAATCATCATTCTAGAAGAAAATTTCAAATGGCACTTAGAGGCTTTTGCATCTGAACTCTTCATATACATATATACAATTACATAATAATAGTCTAGAGTGGCTATTCGGTTACTTGTATATGTGTGTAGGTTTATATAACGTGTTATTGTGTTATTTTATTATAGTGTATATACTGTACTTTTATGGATTTTGTTAATATTTTTAATTCAATTTTATTTGAATATTTTCTGTTTTCATTTTAATTTTAGTTATAGGTTTAGTAGTTTTGTTGTGTTTTTGTCATTTTTACTAGTTTTTTATATACAATTATATATATATACTTTAAGTAGTTCATTTCAGTTCATTTTAGTACTTTTACTGAAACTAAACAAAAATGACAAACATTGAATTGGTAACTAGCTGAAATAAAATATATTGGCTAATGTCAGTGAATATTTATTTATTAAAATGTATTATTTTGTTATGATTTTTAGTATTAGTAATGATAACCCTCATATATAAAATATAATATACATATAATATAATAATTGAACTTCAATTCAGTTTATTTATTTTCCACATTTAAATTGTTTTTATTTTGTTTGTGGAATGTAAACCCTAAAAGCCTACTGATCATAGTCTTGCATAGCATTTTAGTCCTTGCGATGTTCTAGATCGAATTACTTCGGGAACGCAAATCTCAAGTGCACGTAGCCCCTCTTTAATCATCAGGACCATCCATCTGATGAGCTTGGGTCTTATGTTGTGTTGAATACAGGGTGTATATCTACTGGACCATCATCTAGCCCCAATTTGGCTGATGAAATTAAAATATTCAGTCATTGTTTCGTTGTAGAATCATATTTCGGCGACAAGTTCTGATTGCTTTTTGTGGATCAATAATAATATTCATGTGATTACTGTCTAGGCAATGTAATACTTTAATGCATAGTCTAGTGTGAAAGCAACCAATGACAAGATTTACAAATACTTATCAAACGCCGGCTCTCAGACAACCTTCCTTTATTTCATTACACGTCTTAGCAAACACAAAGGCTAACAAATCTTTATGGCTGCTCATACAATGACGTTATCAAATGCATTTCCTCTTTCTGAACTCCAGTATTTGATTTTCTAACTGACCGTGATGAACTTTCTCATTACTGTCAGCAGGAACGATGTGGCTTAATCTTGAGCTGAGAGAATCATATGAACAGCATTTGCAACCAGGCCCAAACAGTTGCCTTGGCAACAGTGTAAACCTACACTGCAGTCTGCTCGTTGCTCGTGGCCATCCATGGTTAAATATGAAACACAAGCTCAGTCTGGCCAGTCATGTGCATAACAAGCCTCTTTCCTCATAGTGAAAGTGAAGCATCTGGGATACATCTGTGCACTGGGACCTTACAGTACATGTTCACTCTGTACACATTGAATAAATAACAACCTTTTTTTTTTTTGTCAGAACAAACATGCTCTTTAGATTCTAATACCCATAACCACCATGTTAGCTGTATTTTTTTCAGTTAAAAACAAATAAAAATAAACACACATTATTTATTTTGTCAAAATTTTATTCATTTGAATCGAACATTTATGTAACTGTAACAAAAACATGTATAAAGCTAAAATAACTTAAAATAAATAGTTACACACCAACTTTTCACATTCTTAAGCTGCCTCAAAGCAGTCCAAGGCAGATTGTCACTTACATGATGCTACCCTGATATCACCTTTTTATATCATTTTAAAAACATGTTTTTGTTTTCATTATATTATTTTATTCTTTAAATTAAGATACACCACTGTATCATGGTACCTTTATTTTGATATAGTCCACTTTAGACATTGTACCATATATAAGTGACTTTGCAACTACATGTCAACTAACTAAAAGAGTATTAGTAGACTGTGAGGATTTGGGTTAGTAGAATATGTTACTAAATGAAATAAGTTACTTGTAGTCAGTTGAACCGTCAGTTGGGGAAATATCAAAGTAGAATAATAGCATAATATTAAGCAGACAATCTACTAATACTCTAATGAGAGTTAGTTGACATGTAGTAGCAAAGTTACTTAGAGAATGTCTAGTGGACTATTCAAATAAAGTGTTAATGTAATTACATAAAAAGGATAGATAAATAAATAATGTAAATGGATGCATTAAACAATCAAACACTTTTCTCCATTCCATAAACATAATTTGCTGAAAGTATGCCATATGCATACATCGGTAGAGTCCATCGGCATATCTTTTGTACCGAGTACAGGTATATGTGCAGATGCAACTCTCTACACCAGTGGCTCTGCTGTTCCCTATTTTGGATAATATTAAAGGGGGTCTGGCAATGCAGTGATGAACTCTGAATCCATTACACGGTTCTCTTCATCTCGTGGCACTCCGACTGCCTCAAACAGCCTTTTTTTAGGATCCGCACTGGTCCCTTCCACTTTTTGCCGAGCTTCCATCTCTTGTAGAGCCAAAATGCAGCTATGTTTTTCATTTTGGTTCTTCTTCTTCATGTGGTGGTCTGATCTCAATGGCCTCTTTGGTTTTCGCCTTGGCGCTCTTCAACTTGAGCTGGTTGACTAGATTTCGGTAGGTAGCGGATCTGAGGAATCGTGGGTAACAGTCCTTTTCCATAAGAATATAGATGCGGTACTGGGCCATATCGAAGCAGGATGCTGTAGGGCTTTTCAAGTTGGCCTGAGTGATGTCTCGAGTCTCATAGTCGATGTTAACCTGAAAGTGAATGAGAAGTGAATTTACACATCAATTGTCCACAATATATAATAATGATAATCGAAAGTTGTAAAGTTTAATGGAGTAAGTTTTATAAAAAAAATACTATTTCAATCTTGACCTGTTACTTGTCGATCTTTGTCATTCATTGTGAAATTTACTTGCAATTTCCGAATGAAAATTGTTTCTACACCAAATTTATTTTAGTTTAGGAATGATATTGTAGTGTATGGTGATTCATTTCATGTCGTTACCTCTCTAGGAGCTTCACTTCCGATAAACTCCTCGTAGATCCTCTTTGCTTTGGATGGCATCTTAGCCACAGACTTTGTGCTTTTGAAGTCCTCACAGGCCAGATAGAAAGCAATGTTTTCTTCACTGAACTCGGACACCAGGAAAGATCGGAAGGCATATAATCCATCTGATAGAGGGAGAAAAATAGGGTAGAGAGAAAGGATCAGTTGTGTAACGTGTCCTATCAGATTAAAGCCCCCCACGCAGACCAGACACATCTGTGCACAGCAGTCCCATATCCTCTAATTTTAAACCATGGCCTAATGGAAAGAGTCTTTTTTTATGTTATATTTCACAAGGCTGCTTTTTACTTGCCATTTAATCATAATAATTTTCTTTAACTCTTTCATTTGAACTCGTTTCATATTTAACTACAATGTGAACTTACGTTTGCTGGACAGGAGCTTCTCAAAAGACACTTTCCACATCAGACATTCCTCCAAGGTCAACCTGCAAAGACGCCAGCCAATAAGAAGAAAAACATTAGGGGACTATACTCTCGTTATAATGCAAAAAGGAACATGTTATGAAACAAAGCGGCGACATTGCATTAAATAACTGTGCGTACCTCGGTTTTCTGTATCTGCATAGGCTGCCCAAGTCTTGTCTCTGCAGAAATCCACCTACGCATGCCTTTAATCGTTTGGCCCTGATGTTAAAAAATACATTTATTTAATACACAGCAAATGTACACTTTTGTAATATATACGATTATTACAACAGGATTAAAAAACCCTCAATGATATTATATTAAAGAGCAGAGGTTTGTTAAGCATTCAGAAGATTTAGTATGCATAGATTATTAAGACAAAATAAAATAAATAATAAAAAAAACACACATAAAACCTTTAAAAATGCCAATATGAGCAGCATCATACCTTTCCAGGCAAGTGTTTGACAGCCCTGTTATTCCTCTGTACATTGTAAAGCCAGAGAGAAAATAAACATCCATTGCACAGTGTCTCTAAGAAAAAAAATGATCAGCAGTGTGTCTGTAGAGAGGGAAAGAGAGCTTATATAGAGCAGGAAGCAGAGTGTCATCTCTCCTCTCAGCCAATCATAATGCAGTCCTCTCTACACTAATGTACTGTGAACTGTGCATTTGTGCGTATGTTAAAAATCAGGGAAAGTCCACAGTGATGGAAATATTCACAAGTCTGGTTGATGTAAGTGCTCCAATTTATGACATTTTAGTGTCCTTTTGCACTGCTCACACGCTGTTCCAGAAATATAATTATTTGAGAAGCATACTGTAAGTAAAAACAACATCCCCAACTCTGAATCCTCGTAGGGATGTTGGTAAAGTGGTGAGAGTAGTGCAGGACATCACTTACCAGAAATTTATTTTCCTGTATATGATATTGATGGTCTCTTGTTATAGACAGTTGGTTTAAAAAGTCTTATAAAAAGTCTAAAAAGCCACAAATCTCTTGTTCAGTCATTTTATTTTCAGTTTGCATCACAGCAAATATTTAATTTTATTTTATCATGCACAGTTGTAAATGACTGATTGACTAAAGAATACAGTGGCAACATAAAGATATTTTTTTAAATATATTTTTGCATACTTTAAAGAAGCAATATGTAGAATTTAGAAAGGCTTGTTATTAGTGACACCGGTGGCCATTGAGTGAGCTGCAGCCGGCAATTTAAAGGGATAGTTCACTTTGAAATTATTTTTTGATATGTTTTAGCTTACCTCAAGGCCATCCAAGATGTAGGTGTCTTTGTCTCTACAGTATTTCAATTTTGATATTTTTAGGTCAAACCGTTCTTGTCTGTCAGTCATATAATGCAGGTCTATAGTCAACCCCTCAAAGAGCATGCACAGAGAAGTCCAAATTAAACATGATATAGAGATATACAGAAAATTGTAATGGAAGACATATATATATATATATATATATATATATATATATATATATATATATATATATATATATCTCAACAGACAACATTTAATTTTTTCGCAACTGCATGATAGATGTGGCTACAGTTACAAGAGGTAAAAGGATATAAATACTGTTCATTTTCTCACACAAACTGCTCCTTTCGTGTCTTAGGCCATCAATGTGTACTTACATTCACGAGTCATTAAATCATGTTCAACTTGCACTTCTCTGTGCATGCTCTTTGAGGTGGTGACCATAGACCTGCATTATATGACTGACAGACAAGAACGGTTTGACCAAAAAATATCAAAATTAAAACCACTGCGCAAAAAAAGACTCCTAAATCGTTGATACCCTTGAGGTAAGCTAAAACATATCAAAAAATTATTTCAAAGTGAACTATCCCTTTAAATTGCTGGCTGCAGTTCATATAATGGCCACCGGTGTCACTAATAATAAGCCTCTCTAAATTCTACATATTGCTTCTTTAAAGTATGCAAAACATATTTTGAAATGGTTTGACCTAAAAATATCAAAATTAAAACTACTGCGGAAACAAAGACACCTACATCTTGGATGCCTTCTTGAAATTAATTTCAAATTTAGTGAACTATCCCTTTAACATACAAGAGTCTGAAAATGATTCAAGGGCCATGATACACAAACAGCGAAGTTATTTATTTTTTATTTTTTCTTAAAACATCAGCTAGATAGTTCATATCAGCCAATTCCATAAGTAGCCTACCTTAAAGAATATCATGTCCTAAACTGCTATAGTATGACATGATAAAATCACAATTGGAACATGTTGCTTATAGACAGTATTTCCTGTTTCATCAAAGGTCTAACGCCTCACTTCATTGATTCACAAGCCGAATCATGACAGCCATACCTAACCTGCTCAAGCTGTGCTCAGAACGAGGAACAATTGATTAGGTTTAATATCCCAGAATGATATAGTTCCTGAGGGAATCCCATCTTGCATCAATAACTTATGATGTCGTCATCAAGGTCTTTCTCTCACCTAACATGACACTGGATATAACAGACCAACCAAGTGAGGACAAGTGAACTTCTGCATCCATTGGCCTTGAGATCTCTGTGTCTGCTTTGATAGAAAACATTCACTTTCACCCCACTGACTCGAAGCAATTTTTCAGAGACGTGGAAGACATGCAGAGGGGGAAATAGGCTTGTTGTTCACAGCTTCTTTTTCCTTATTTCAGATAATATGCCTTGCAGACGGGCAATTACACCATCACAAAGAAGTTCCCATTGGTAGAGCAGGATGAAACCCTGCTATAGGTCTCTTCATAGAGATGGTAGTGGGTGTCCTACTGCTGCACAATGAGAACAGGAGATGGAGAAGGTGCAATTGTGAGAAAGCACCTTATATGACACAGTCAACCAATCTTACCTATTTTTCAGGCCTTCCGCTTAGGTCTCTTCAGTGCTAGAAAGTTTCTCTAAATATTTATGCAGGTTCTAAAGCTCTTGCCTAATCATAAACCTTTTTATTTTTCATTTAAAAAAAAACGTTTCTTTTCTCTTTAGTAATGACCTTTTCTCTTTTGTAATGTCTCTCAGCCATCTACCGTCTCTATCTACAGTCTTCCTGCAAATCTTCCTCTTGCTCAATCTCCCCCCTCATCATGAGTGTACAGTATATGCCCTGCAATGCTGATTGGTGTGTGCTCAGTCCAATCCACTTTCAACTTTCAATTCCACGTGTATGTACATGCCGTTAAATGTCCGAGCGAAACGAAGCAAAATGTAGATCTACATCTGGGGAGCGATATTTTTTTCCTAGGATGGTAAGGGAAGACTCATAAATGGTATTAACCAACCTGATCTCACGACCAAGTCGTGCGAATTCGACGAATGATTAAAAAGTGGCTAATTCGTAATAATTCATACGACCTCACTCGTACGAATTAATACGATTTTGCTAAATCGTACATATTTTACGAATTGGCCAATTCGTATGAATTCGTACAAATGACCTACCCCTTACCCCACCCCTAAACCTAACCATCACGTGGGTTTAGACAAATCGTACGAATTAGTACGAATTAGACACTTTTTAATCATGCGTCGAATTCGTACGAATTGGTCGTGAAATAGTGTTGTATTAACCCCAGTGACGGGGTTGGGATAGGTCATATCTTTACATATACAGTAATGTAACATTAAGTCAATGGTGTTCATAAACATGCAGAAAAGCGATTATGCGTGTTGATAGCATGCCAAAAATGGACATACGAATTGGTGTGTCATACATGTGCCATTTCATGAGATCAGTCTGTTGTTTTGACATAAGAGTTATAGAAACACACTGGAAAGTGGGCCATAAAGGCAGCTGCAACCAAATGTTTAACCTTTGCAAGCTTTCTTCTTCAGACCATGACTTCTGTGTCCTCCAAATGACAGATTTATCAGGATAAGAACGATTCATCCTTGAACAAAGGATACTTATTTTTTTAATGTTGCTCTATTATTATACAGTACTGCATATATAATTAATCTCATCCAAAATTAAAGTCCAAATAGTTGTATTATATTTGAATTTAATTCAAATTGCATGGTATTAATCTAATCATTAAGTATGATATTAGAGCACTCTTTTACAAAAATGTCAATGGGATCTTCAATTCTAATCAAATCATTTGTCCAATCCTCAAATGAAATCAGACACACAATTCTTTTAACTCCTTGAAACCAAAACAGGTACTTGAAATACAGTATATGTCCAATCTTCCCAGGATTTATTATAAACCTATTACTTCTGATGAGAAGATTCCTTTATGATTATAAGCTAATTGTTAAGTGTCTACAATAGACACATATTACATATACACAATGCAAATTGTATTTGCCATTGTATTATGAGCACTCAGAATCATAAAAGCCCACTGATATTTCTAGCTCACAGGTTCTGCTACGTTTAGTTTCCAAGCAATACAAGGGGGGAAAACAACACGATTTACGGCACAGTGCAAATCTCTCGCTCGAGGTTCCTGTCAGCAGTAATGCTCATAAGGTGTCATGAATTAGCCCTGAGACTTGGTGAATGGGGATTTTGTCCGGGAATCTACCTACATCAGCTTATAACGGTAAAGGCCTGGCCTGTGATGATTCCTGGCATTACTGTTTTGAAAACCCTGAGGATTGGTTAATATTCACAAAACACTTACAGTACACTTATATTGTTAGAACAGTTTAATAATGAAACCATGTAAGGTCTTACATGCTCAGTTGATCGAAATTCAAGATGTCAGATTTTACAACTTAAATATAATAGTTTGCTCAATATAAGATTGCAGTTTATCTTATTTAAAATGTAATATTGTTATTAGCCATGGACATTTACATTAGCTATTTTATTAACAGCTCAACAAAGAATGAATGTTAGCTCAGAGCAAAAATAACTACTGTATTATTCCCCCCATAACCTTTAAATAATTATTTTAATAAATAAATAATTATTATTTATTGAATAGTAACTTTTTACTATCAAGGCTATACTAATACTAAATATACCTTTTAATCCCCCCCCCCCCCCACATATTTTGTGGATGAAATAGCTATTCAACTGAATATTTGAATCTTATTTAATATTTAGAAGGTAAATTGCAAATTATCACATTGTTTATTTAGGCCTATCATTAACAACAATTACAGAATATGAGGTCTTAAAGCAACTTTTCATTTCATGAACTGATTGGTGGATTTAGCTTTGCTAACAAATAAACAAACAAATATGGATAAAAATGTAAATATATTTTTTACAACATCAAATACAAATTTTGCCATCATCTGGATAAAGTATATCCCATTTTTATTCTTATTAAATAAGTTTACAGTTCTTGTTAACATCATGGGCCTGTTCTGGAGAAAATGCACTGATATTCGGCTGAGTTGTCACATATCTTCACATTTTCTTTCAACAATGCAAGCAAGATGCTCATCTGATGAGAAGCATATCCTGAATTTGCAGAAGTAGATGCGTTCCTGGGTCAACATATTTTATTTATCCTGTAATGAAAGTCTTGTCTAAAAATGTGATCCTACTCCTAAAACAAACCCTACCCATAAATTATTCATAGTTTCAGAG